TCCAAGAAATTAAAAGGGAAAATACTCTAAAACTATGTTATTTCAACAAAATTAAAATACTTTTATTCTTACTTTAAGAATATGTTGTTTTTATTTTTATTTTTTTCTTTTAATGCAAGTTTAGTAAAACAGTATAATCTGTTGATGTTTTAATTGATAATTTTTTAGAGATTTAACTAATAAATACATTTCTCTTTTCTATTCATTTTTCAATTGATTATTGCAAAATTTTTTACTGTAATATTTTATATTTTATTTTAACAAATACATTTATATCTAATTTTTTAACAGTATATCAATAAAAATACTACAAGTGAATCTTTAAAAAAAAAAAAAGAACTAATGTTTTAAAAGATACATAAAACTCAAAATTTTAACAATAATTTTCGCCCTTCCCCGCAGTATATTTCCTAGTCCGTCCCTGCTTCTATATATATAGGCCCCGCATATCATATATCCTTCAATGTAACCAACAATAAGAATGGCAATTCAAGGCTACCAACTCTTTCTCCTTCTAGCTTTTCTTGGTTCCGCTGCTCAAATTGGAGGCAAGATTGTGACCGACACACTCTTCCGGACTAGTTTTCTGGATGGTTTTATATTCGGGGCGGCATCATCAGCTTGCCAAGTTAATTTCTTCAACCATATACTTATATTAGAGATGCCATTGTAATGTATTTTTGCTTATCTTTGTTAATTCATTCTCTCAGTATGAAGGTGCAGCTAATGAAAGAGGCAAAGGACCGAAAATCTGGGAGACTTTCACTCACCAATATCCAGGTCTAGTCATCTGTTTCTCCATCTATACATGGGGTTTCAGTCTCGAAATCATCCAAGTTTCTTATTGAACTATTCAAAGTATAACAGAGTTGTTTATGTTGTAAAATGGAAAGATAGCTGATGGAAGTAATGGAGATGTGGCTGTTGATTCATATCATCGGTGCATGGTAACGAGTTGTATTCACTACTATATATATGAGAGGCGAACATGGTCGGACAACAAGTTTTGACTTCTGTATATTTGTCAAAAGTGACAAAAAGTTATCTTTGCATTTGTTATAGGAAGATGTTGGGATTATGAGAGAAATTGGTCTAGATGCATACAGGTTCTCAATCTCATGGTCCAGAGTTTCGCCAAGTAAGAAAATGCTATTAGCTAGGTTGTGTAATGCTATGGTAGCAACTAGAAAAGGAAATTCTTGGTCATTCTTCCATTCTTATTTTGTTCTTGTTACTTTTAGATGGAAAGGTAAGTCGACGTATCAACGAGGAAGGAATCAAATACTACAACAACCTCATCAATGAGCTCCTAGCCAACGGTCGTGATTCATTATCATTTTTCCAGTTAATTGTTTTATGTAAATCATGTGTTTATGGGAGTTAATTATATGTAAATGAATTTTCAGGCATCTAGGCATTTGTGACCATCTTCCATTGGGATGTTCCCCAAGCTTTAGAAGATGAATGTGGTGGTTTCTTGAGTCCTGAGATTGTATAAGTTTTGATTTTGACACATCAATCACCCATACTAATTATTAAGCTATTTATCTACTTTTGGTATCCAAAAAGATAAAATTGACTTTTATTTTAATTCTAAATATCATATGTTAGTTTTTCATTAGTTTATTTTTAATTAAGAATTAAAACTTATCTTTTTTAAATTCAAAATTTCACATTTTTAAAAAAAACACAATTATTACTTAATTATTAATTCTTATTCTAGCACAAGATAGGCAAATTCCATGATTAAATAAGTTTTTAGTAGAGGCCTAAATAATTAAAGCAGAAATTACAACTATAAATCTGAATTTCAATCTAATTATTTAATTAAATAAAAATTTAAAAGACCCTTTAATTAGTTATTATGTGTTATTTTGACGGAAAAAATTGTTTTCTCCTACCATCGGGAATGATCTTCGAGACCATGCGGAGCTTTGCTTCAGGGAACTTGGTGATGGAGTGAAACATTGGATCTCCCAAAATGAGCCATGGACGTTTAGCACTAATGGCTATGCCACCGGTAGCTTCGCGCCAGGTTATCGTTGTTCCAAATGGCAGAAACTGAACTGCACTGGCGGATGATTCAAGAACAGAACCGTACTTGGTGACCCACCACCAGCTTCTTGCGCATGCAGCTATAGTAAACCTGTACAGGCTTAAATATGAGGTCATACAACAAAACCATGATATTAACATACTAAGATCAAGAGGGTATTAACAAACAAATATCATACGATCAGTTATGTAATTTGGTATTAGAGTTATATACACTCTTAACTATAAGTTTAGAGTTCAATTTTGGATTTCTACTTATCCAAAAGAGATAATAATAATAACATTCAAATATCATAATCTAACATTGAATTTGTGCAGAAAGATTAAAAGGGTATGATAGGGATCACCCTATTGACATATTGGATGGTTCCATTATGGAACACAACACAGGATAAAAAAGCTGCCCAAAGAGTACTAGATTTTGTGTTGGGTTGGTTGGTTTCATGCATTTTTTTTTTTCAAGGTTATCTGCTGTTGGGAGTTGCGCCTGAAAGCACTGTGCTTGTATGTTTCTAGGTTTATGGAACCTATAACAAAAGGATATTATCCCAAGACTATAGAATCACCAGTTGGAAAGTGTTTACCAAACTCTCCGAAAAGGAACCAAAGATGCTTAAAGGGTTGATTAATTTTCTGGGATTGAACTACTATACTGCCTATTACGCAGTAGATGCACCTAAGCATAATAATGGAAGGCCGAGCTACTTAACAGATTCTCTTGCTAATCGTACAAGTAAATATTCCGAAAACTCAAATCAAGGAGGATTACGAGCTACTTGAACAGATTCTCTTGCTAATCTAAACCTTTTATTTGCAGCTGAGCGGCTGTGGTTCCTGGGGATCCCAATTGGTCCAAATGTTGGTGATAAACCCTAAGTTTAAATGGCATATTAATTGGAGGATAAAATTTAGACTACACCATAAGGTTAAGGTGTATTAACTATATTTTTTTTTCGCTTTTAAATTTTTTTATTAATTAAAATTATTTACAGTAATTAGTGTTGAAAATAAAATTAGTTTTGTTTCCTATACAAAATAATTTAGAAAATGTACATACAATTAAGATAGCCTTAACATGTGCCATAAGGATATGTTTAGTTTGATGAGAAAAAAATGCCTTTATTTGTGGTAATCATAAAAATTGAAAAAAAGGAGAAGGAAGAAAAGTCCTCAATTTTATTTTTTATTTTTAATTCCTTTACTTATCTAAATGAAGGAGACGAGAGACGAGAGGAGTGGAGGGGATGGAAATGGAATGTTTACCATGGAGATCTAATTGACAGAATATATATTATTGCACTATTTTCACTCATGTGTTGCAAGCTTTAACCAAGCATGCATGTTGTTGATACTTTGCCTTCTAGTAGCATGGAAGGAAATAGAAGGAAATAGAAGGATAAAACCCTCCATTTCTTTCTAATCAAACATACCCTAAATGCACACATTAGACAAATTCTAAAAATCTTAGTCTAAATTTGGAAAAGAAAAAAATACCTTAATAAATTAGGAAACATGAAAATTCATTTATGGTCTATTGACTTTGGCAAAAACCCTTTTTAAGCCCCTAAACTTGCCCTAAATTAGCATTTAAACTCCTAAACTAAAAACGAACCTTTACTAACTCTAATTGGTGATGCTGATGTGGCAATGTAAGTTAGACGAACTCTAACTATTAGTTCATATTTGGAAAAGATAAAATTAAAATACCTTATTGAATTAGGAAAGCATGAAGATTCATTTATGATATTTTATTTTTTACATTGTGGACTGATATATTTGAAAAATCATTTTCACTAGATTTTGTTGAAAAGTACCATAAAGTTTTCTAATTTCATTTATACGCATTATTGCAGGCAGCTTTGGATTGGCTTTGTGTATCCTAGAGGAATTAAAGATCTCTTGTTGTATACAAAGAGAAAGTACAATAATCTAGTCATTTATATCATTGAGAATGGTATGTTAAATATAAATCTTTTTTCATTAGAATCAAAGAAGGGAACATTTCCAAACAGGAAAGACTTGGAACTGGCTGAGGGAGAAGCACATCAAAGTTCCATGGTCAAAGTTGGTTTGGTTCTCTCATTCTATTCCTAAACATAGCTTTATTTGCTGGTTGGATATGTTGGACAAATTAACACTAAAGCAAGACAAAAGCACTGTGCAGCAAGTATAATTGACACTTGTTCTTTATGTGTGGTGTAGATTTTGAAACATCTGAGCACCAACTTTTTAAGTGCGAATTCTCAATACAAGTTTGGCAAAACCTATCAATACAAGTTTGATTCATGCTCTAGTTTGTTAGTTTGGATGGGAAAGAGAATTACTAAGAGGTCGTTACATATTACTTTGATTAAGCTTGCATGGAATGCTGTAGTATATCACTTGTGGATGGAGAGGAATCACAGGATTCACCAGCAGCTTTTTCACCCAGAATGTGTGATTGTCACTAATGTTCGAAGAGATGTTCGAGATAGAATTTTAGGCTTTACTAAGCCACGCTCTATATGGCTACTAGATTGTACTTTGAAGTGTTATTGGATTAAGGAATTTCACATTTCATCCAAAAAAAAAAGAAGGGCGCATTGCATCATTCAATCTATAGATTACGGGTTAACCATTTTAAGTTTCTGAATAATCATGGAGTGAGGTGCTTGGTGTGGTTTTATGGAAATTTTCATTTTTAGTGCCAGGGATGGGTTAACAGTTAAAGAAAAGGAAGAGTTAAAGAAAAGTGAGTCTTTAATTAATCTCAATTTGCCAAGGGCAAAATGGAAAGTTGGAAATTTTTTTATGTTGGGTTTATCACCTACGCTATTGAGTGCTTATAACTTTATAAGGCGTTCGATGTAATGCCCCTGCGTACTTTTGCTTTGTTTCTTGTCGCTTTGTGGGACGCTGTTTGGGCAGTCCATGTCGAGGTCCCGAGTCTAAATTTTTTATGGATAGCCATCTTGGGATCATTCCTCATTGGCATTGATAAATGATTTTGCCTTCCATAGTGAAAAGGACCTTATTTGTTGTAGGGGTTGATGAGATGAATAATTCCACACTGTCGCTACGGGAAGCCGTTGTTGAGAACGAGAGGATTGACATTTGACTACTACCAACAACATCTTTCTTTCCTTCATAGTGCCATTTAGTAAGTGCTTCTCTCTCTCCCTTGTGCATGAAAAGAGAATGTTTACAAACCATTTTCTCGTAGCATGAGTTATGCGGTCATGTGGGGATGGTGACAATGCCAAGACCGAGGGGTGTTTTGTATGGTCATTGTTGGACAACTTTGAATGGAGTAGTGGCTATACTGTACGCTTTGGTATAAACTTTGTGGATTACAAAGATAGATTGAAAAGATACCTTAAACTCTCCGCCCAGTGGTTCAAGAAGTTCCTCAAGAAATACAAATCTGTGGGTAAAACTGAAGGGAAAAGACTACCCTCTGTATATAATGTCTTGTATCGATAAAAACAAAACCCCAGATGATCCACACAAGCCCTTTTTTTCTTTCTTTTCCCCATTTTATGGTAATAATGGGTACTTATGAAACAGTGACCATGTTGTCAATAGTTGTGAGCTAGCATATGTTTGTATGGAAACATTAATAAATATCCTATTTTTACTACCTTGAAGACTATAGCCCTCCCCGCTGCAGAAATTTTTGAAAATTCAGCAGCTTTCATTTCTTCAGCAGAAGACCAGATCCTTTAAACTTGTGCTCCATCTTTTCATGGAATAATAGCAATACAACATGCAGGTGTATGTGAAGGAAATGAAACTAAGAAAGGAGAGATTGAGTGCAAAAGCAACACAGTTTTCATTATGTAAAATAGTTAAATACACAGCTAAGGGTAGTTATAAAACTACCTCAACAGTTATCCAATACAAATAAACTTAAACAAACTATTATAAAATTAAAAATACTTAAAACAAATTGCAACAAACTAATTCAAACTACAAACAAACTAAAGTAAATTCAAATAACAAACAAATAGACTCAACCGGACAGCAACATAGTAGCTTTGTTGGCATGGTTATCTAGAACGGTTCCAACAACCTCCTCCTTGGCAACAAAGCTGCAAATGCCAAGCTGATCTCTAAATTCTTCAAACCTTTTCTTTAGCAAATATTTTCACCAAATATTTGCTAACTGATCTTCTGAGCTACAATATAACTGCTCCTTCTTTTCTTTTTTAGCAAGCCTTAAAGTTCCACAAACACAGCAAAAACTTTGAATACTTGCTTCAAAAAATAAATCCAACACATATATTCCACTGAAATCATCAATAAACAATAAGGAAAGGTTGTTACCATTTATTGATGAGATTTGCACTGGACCACAAAAAACAATATGAACAAAATGGAGCCTTTTTATAGCTCTCCAAGCCTTGTTCACTACAAAAGAAAACTTATTAAAATTTCCCTTTTGACTTACACCACATACACCATCAAACCTCTCATGCCATTTCTCAGATTCATCCACAACAGTAATGCATACTTTAATTTCAGTTTGACTCCAATCAACAGAAAAATTTCTATGATTCATACCAATAGTAAATAATTTTACACTAAGTTTATCAACCACATCAACACATTCATCATGAAAATGCATTGAATAACCATTCTCTAATAACTGACCAACACTAATCAAATTTTGGCTCAAGTAAGGCACATATAAAACATCACAAATGTCCCTAATACCAGTTGGTGTATTAATAGTAACTGTCCCTTTTCCTTTCACCTCAACAAGTTCTCCATTTCCAAGTCTAACCATTGAAAAATAGGATCTATCAAGTGTCTTGAAAATGGCCAAATTTGAGGTCATATGATGGGTACACCCACTATCAATGAGCCAAGATTTTGAACCCAAAAACGTTGATGAACAGCTCTCAACCACAGTAGCCACAAACAACTCTTCTACCTCCTAATCTACATTCTCAGCAACTTGAGCTTTCTCATATTGTTTTGCCTTAGCTTTGCAAACCTTTTCAACATGGCCAAATTGCTTACATGACCTGCATTTTACACCAGGCCTGAACCAGCAATAAGTTGCTATATGAGTCATCTTTCCACAGTGTGGACATGGAGGATAAGGCTCTTTTTTGCCTCTTTAATTGCTGCTTTGTTGGTCTTTCTAAAAATCTCTCTTCTCCTTTCCACTTTTGTCCAAAAATTGCTTCTCTTCATCATCTTCTTTGAACTGACCCTTTCCTCTTTCATTTGTAATAAAAGCACCTTCAACAACACCTTTAGCTTCTTGCCTTATTGCTTTCCTTTGTTCTATAGCTGGAAGCACATTCACAAGTTCGAAAAGTGTCATTTGTGTCATGTCCTTTGAGTCCTCCAGAGAAGAAATTTTATGCTAAATTTCTCTGGTAAACTCACAAGAACCTTATCTACAATCCTCTTCTCTGTAAGTTCTTCACCAAGTATTCTGATCTAATTCACCACCTTCATCACCCTGTCAGAAAATTCTTTCGCAATCTCTGTTTCTTTCATCCTGAGAACCTCAAATTTCCTCCTAAGATTAACCACCTGAATTTGCTTTTCCTTTGTATCTCCCTGGAACTCCTCCTTGAGTTTATCCCAGGCCTCCTTTACTGTTTCACAAGTCATAATCCTTGTAAAAATTTATTCAGACACTGTAGAATGAATAGTGGTCAGTGCCTTGTATTTCTTTGTCACTTCCTTTGTGTGACACCTTATTTTGTTCAAGGTTGCATTTCCAAGAAAAGGGGGTGGATCAACGTCGTGCTCAACAACATCCCAGAGGTCAAATGCTCTCAAATATGCCTTCATTTTAATTGACCAAACTTGATAATTTTGGCCACAAAAAATAGGGACCTTTGCAGGGAAACTGATACTTGCTTCCATGATTTTGCTTGAACTCTCTCAAATGTTGGTGCTAAAACCTTACAGACCCTCACGAATCAGAAAAGCTATGATACCAATTGAAGGAAATGAAACTAAGAAAGCAGAGATTGAGTGCAGAACCAACACAGTTTTCATTATGTAAAATAGTTAAATACATAGATAAGGATAGTTACAAAACTATCTCAACAATTATCCAATACAAATAAACTTAAACAAACTGCTATAAACTTAAAAACACTTAAAACAAACTGCTACAAACTAATTCAAACTGCAAACAAACTAAAGTAAATTCAAATAACAAACAAATAAACTCAACCGGACAACAACATAGTGGCTTTGTTGGCATGCTTATCTGGAACGGTTCCAACAGTATGACCAAATTAGCATTCCCTTTTTTTTTTTTTTTTTGGCTAGTGTTAACCATTCCTTTCACCTGTTCTATTTTTCTGCTAGCATTGAATATCTGAAGTTTCCCTGCCATTGGTAATAGATTGGCTGTCCTTAATCTTCCTGACGTACTATCCTTTTATTAGTTTCCTATCTTTAATCTGTTGCTATATAAAGCCCATCAAAGGAGCGTCTTGCAAACCAAAGAGTCGAAATGGCTCTTCAAGGATACCACCTATTTCTCCTAATTCTTCTTGGCTCATTGACTCAGATTAAATCTACCACACAAAGTAATTTGACAGCTTCACTTAACCGACACAGTTTTCCTCCTGATTTTGTTTTTGGAGCTGCTTCTTCAGCTTACCAGGTGAAATCTTGGTTTCTGATGTTGTGTTTATTCAATATTTTCTTTCAAGCATCCTTAGAAGCCATGGATTCTGTTTTTTAATTTGCATTTTTCAATTCATTGTATTGTAGTATGAGGTGGAGCTAGAAAAGGTGGTAAAGGACGAAGTACCTGGGATATTTTCACTCACAAACATCCAGGTGTGTCTCCCAAATTTTCTCTATTATAACTTCTATTATTTTGTTCTCACTTTTCGTTTGGCATTTGAGTCTTTGAAATTCTTCTATTTATTAGGATGAACACTTAGTTGGACATACGGTTTAGATATGTTGGAACTCGAACATGTAAGCCTGCCTAACTTTTTTATGGTGCGTACGGAGGGAAGATAGCTGATGGCAGTAACGGGGATGTGGCAATCAATTCATATAATCACGACAGGGTATGTATGCTGAAAGGAGAATTTTATTTCACTTAGTAGCACAACTGATGCTTTATATCTACTTGATAACCATCAAAGTAGACAGATCATGGCATGGGAGATGGGACAAGTGAATTTAGTGTTCAATATCAAAGTAAGAGATTAAAAATGGACCTCATGTGAGGTCTTCGCAATCCATTTATGCATTTTCATTTCTCGTGCTATAGGAAGATGTTGGGATAATGAGAGAAATGAATCTAAATGCTTATAGATTCTCAATCTCATGGTCCAGAATTTTGCCAATTAAGAATCTTTCTAATGAGCAAATGACTTGTTGAATACAAAGCTAAATTTGTCATCTTATATTACATGTCAATATTGTTTTATCTTCAGATGGAAAGGTTAGTGGGGGCGTAAACAAGGAAGGAATTTAGTACTACAACAACCTCATCTACAGCCTTCAAGCTGATGGTAATTATTAATTAATTAGAGATTCAACCTTATTTCTCCCATATCTAAATTTTTTGATTGACGCTACTGTTACTTGGGTTTTACTTTCAGTTCGTGGTTCACTGTCTTGCAGGTATAAAGCCTGTTGTGACCCATTTCCACTGGGATCTTCCACAAGCTTTAGAGGATGAGTATGGTGGTTTCTTGGGTCCCAACATTGTGTAAGTTATGATTTTTAGATATAAAACTTACTGAACTCAATAAGCTAATGAACTGAAACCTTACTGTTCATATTTGTTATCTTAGGGATGATTTTCGAGACTATGCAGGTATTTGCTTCAGAGAATTTGGTGACAGAGTGAAGCAGTGGATCACCCTTAATGACCCGTGGAGCTATAGCACTGGAGGCTATGCAACAGGCACGTTGGCTCCAGGTCGTCGTTCCAGTTGGCAGAAACTGAACTGCAGTGGGGGGACATTCAGGAAAAGAACCATATTTGGCAGGGCACCACCTCCTCCTTGCTCATGCAGCTGCTGTAAATCTGTATAGGCTAAAATATCAGGTCAGATATGGTAAATGATGTTAAAATTCTAGGAGTTAATTAGTGAAACTTTTATGACATTTAATCGAATATTGTACTTGCTCAGCCAACACAGCATGGAACCATAGGGATCACCCTCCAGTCAAATTGGTTTGTGCCATTTTCCAATGAAACACAAGACAGAAAGGGTGCCCAACGAGCACGTGATTTAATGTTTGGATGGTAAGTTTCTCCCCAGTCTATTTTCCAATCTTTCTGTTGTCCATGTCCGAGTCTCTTGAACTGGTTTTGATGATTTTGGTTTTTTTCAGGTTTATGAACCCAGTCACTACCCACAAAGCATGAGGTCACTTGTTGCTCATCGTTTACCCAAATCTTTAAAGCACAATCCAATATGGTTAAAGGGTCATTTGATTTCATAGTATTAAACTACTATACTGCCAATTGTGTTGCTGATTCACCCAAGCTTAAGGCTGCATCAAAGACAAGCTACTTGACAGATTCTCGCGTTAATCTCTCTAGTAAGTTCTCAACCCTTATCCTACTGATATTTAAGTTTTCTTTCCTTGATAACTGTATTAGAAATTGGATACAAATTTTCTTATCAATTTAAAATTTTAAGTCAAAGTGGTTCTTCACAGACTTAGTCGTACTAAGCAGGAGCTTAACCTTTTGTTGTGGCAGCTGAGCGTGACGGCATACCAATCGGTTCACTGGTGTGCACATCTCAATCAGTAATTTTGTTTGAGGTTATAATATATTTATGTATTTTGTAGCATAGAAGAACTCACAAGTTAGTTTATCTCCTGCTTTGTATATTGCAGACTGCCGGTTCAGATTGGTTCTATGTATATCCAAGAGGTCCCCGCCACCTTTTGCTATACACAAAGAGGAAGTACAACAATCCACTCGTATATATCACTGAGAATGGTGAGTTAAGTTTAGCCTTTCTTTGTTTAGAACAGAACAAAGAGTAGCTAGAACTGAGCTAAGTAAAGTAATTAATAAATGCTTTGCCTCTGAGGCCAAGCTAGCGTAAGTAACGAACTCTCTACATAGGTCTCCAACACTATCAGAATTATGAAATTAAGCTAGCATTGAAAGCCAGTGACACCAAATCATCTTATTGGATGTTTAGGGGTTTACCAGGTGAATAATGACACGTTATCACCAAAGAAAGTCCTCGCTGACAACTACAGGATTGACTACCACCTTCAACATCTTGCTTCCCTAAAAAGTGCCATCAAGTAAGTAGTTTCTGGTAGTGGATAAACCTGTTTAGTTTATTACACAAAACTGTCATAAATAATAAATGATATGTACAAATGGAAAATATCAATTCTCATTTATTTTCCTATAACTTGTGTATACCAATATAATCTGTGTGTTTTTATGTGTATTTGGAACAGGGCTGGCACTAACGTTCAAGGATACTTCGCACGGTCCCTGTTGGATGCTTTTGAATGGAGTTATGGTTATACTGCAAGTTTGGCTTCTACTCTGTAGATTACAAGAATGGGTTCAAAAGACATCCTAAACTCTCAGCTTGATTGTTTAAGAGGTTTTTGAAGACATAAAGAAACTAAATGTCATTTCTGTATATCTTCCGCTGGAACTACATCAATTAGAAGTTGCATATGACTAGTTTAATTTGGATTTCACCATTATCAGTAGAAGGCAAGATACTGAATTCTCCCTATTTATCATGTCTAACAATTCTTGGAGTACAATGAAATGACAAAGGTTTATTAAAAGGAGAGTATATTATTCCAACGTAATAATCCCTCTAGTTAGGGAAGAAACAAAGAAGCTCACCAAATACATTTACATTTAAACATCATTCCTGTTTCCTATTCTGTTCTCCTCCATATATAGCAAGATATTATTGAACCTTGACCCTAACAACCAAAAATAATCTGCTTCAGGACTATGAAATCCCTTTTGCATCTCTTCATCATTCTTCTAGTTCTTAACCCAACAGCTCAGATCTAACCTGCTGCTACAGTTAATAGTGCGACTACCGCACTGCCAAGGTGATGATCTCCTATTTATTACAGTGCACTCCAAGCAGCTTTTTTCGCCATACCCCTTTCCTTCAAAACTTCTCTTGCCCTTTCTGCCTCCTTCCACCTTCCAGTAGAACTATACATGTTAGAAATTGTGATGTAGTAACCATCATTGTCAGGATCAGATTCAATAGCACGCTTTGCTATCCTTATTCCCATTTCAATTTCATCATGAATTATACAAGAACTCAACAAGGCCCCCCACACACCCCCATCAGGAGTCATGGGCATTGACATAACCAATGCCTCAGCTTCCTGAAGATTCCCTGATCTGCCAAGAAGGTCCACCATACAAGCATAATGTTTCAAATTGGGCTTCAGAGAATAATGGTGCATTCTATCAAACAAATACTTCCCTTCTTCAACAAGGCCTGAATGAGTACAAGAGGAGAGAAGAGCTAGAAAGGTAAGAGCATTTGGTTTAACATTTGATGTCTCCATCTGCTGGAAAACTTGAAATGCTAATTCTGCATCTCCATGCATTCCATAACCTGATATCATCACATTCCAAGAAACTGCATCCCTTTCCTTCATTGAATCGAACAACTCTCTTGATTTTTCAAGTCGCCCACATTTTGCATACATGTCAACCAATGAAGTAGCAAGGGATTGACTGAGCTCATACCCTTCTTCCTTGATGTAATTATGAATTGTTTCTCCTTTCTCTGAAGATGCAAGATGAGAACAAGCTGAAAGCACAGTTATGAATGTTGCCAAGTTGGGCTTCAAGCTGCCTAAAACCATTTCTTCAAATAAGGCTACAGCCTCAGCAAAATTCCCACAATGAGTATATGAAGATATCATTGAATTCCACGTGATAACATCTCTCGGTGTCCTTTGAAATATCCTCCTTGCAAATGTCTGTTTACCACTTTTACCATACATATCAATGAGTGAATTGGCAATTGAGATGTTGTCACCCATGTGATTTTTAATTATGTAACCATGAACAGAGAGCCCAATGCAGATTGCTCCTAATTGGGAACACGAAACAATCACAGAGACTAAGCTGTTTGAATCAGTTTCAATTCCAAGATGTTGCATCTCTCTAAATAATCTTATACTTTGTGCTTCATTTCCCATCTTAGAATAGCCCGAAACCATTGTATTCCAAGACTCTGTGTTATGCTCTGGCATAAATCCAAAGAGCTGATCTGCTACAGACAGGAGTCCAAATTTGCAGTACATAGATAATAACGCATTCTGAACCGTCTGATCTAACATGTAATGCCTTCTCACGATCAATCCATGAAAGGCCTTTCCTTCACATGCACTCATGAAATTCCCAAACCCCAAGAACATACAACTGATTACAACTCCATCTGGACAGATTCCATCATCCTGCATTTTCCAAAACAAGTCCGTGGATTCCTTCATGAGACCAAATCTTGCATAGACACCAATAATTGATGTCCATGAGATGATATCTTTATCAACAACTTCACAAAATGAAGCATACGCTTCCCCTATATTACCCCATTTGGAATACAACAACAAAACTGAAGATTGAACAACTACATAACAGTCAAGTCCAGATTTGACAACCAAACCATGCAAACACCTACCTTCAGCCAATAACCCTAATTTCCCACAAGCGTGAAACCCACCTTCCAATGTTCTAAAATTAGGCCTTTCATCATCCCCTCCAACCCTAATCATCTCACGAAGACATTCCAACCCCCTTTCACTGTCTCCGTTCTGTACATACCCAATGACAAGTGCAGTCCAACTAACCACATCTCTCACAATAATTTCATCGAACACAAGACAAGCATTCTCCATTGATCCGCACTTTGCGTACATATACACAAAAGAAGATCCAACTGCAGAATTTTCGTTGAAAAAGCCACATTTTGACACCAGCCCATGCACATATCTCCCACAATCTAGCCAACAGAGCTCCGCACAACCACCCACAACCATGGGAATGGTGAAATCACTAGGCAAAACTTCAGACAATCGCATATCGACATAGTAGGAAAAAGATTCCGGGTAGTTGCCATTGGAAAAGTGAGACTTAATTATGGAGTTCCAAAGAAAGATGTCTTTTGGGGAGCAAAGCGAATCGAATACCTCAGTGGAAAGATCGGGTTTACCCAAAGAGGCATATAAAGATATGAGCTTTGCGGCTAGGAAGATGTTGCTTGAGTTGCCAGTGGTTAGGATGAGAGCATGGGATTGAAGAAGAGACAGGAGGGTAGCTGGGGATCTGTTGGAGAGGAAGGAATTCAGGTGACAGTTAAGGTAGTTAGAAGCTGAAGAAGAAAAGAGACTAGAAAACAAGGGAAAATGTTTGAGTTGTAAGGGTTTGAGTTTGAGCATTTCTGCCTCCGTTTACATATGGTGGCCTTTTACTCTGTTTTTATGCCCCTAGAATATGCCTGTGCCTATGACTCTTCTCTATTTTCCTTTTCTTTTTTTTTTTAATTTCTGTGGTGGAATTTTTAAATAAATAAATAAATATAAAAAAAGTATTTGTTCTAACCTTTCTTTTTTCTTTTTTCATTTTTAACTGAAGCTAAATACTTGTTCTAACTTTTTTAGGAGTAGAATTTACAGAGACATAAATTATTTGACAATATAAAAAGATTAGTACAAGTTTTAACTTTATTTTCACTAGATTTTATTTTTAATATATTTACTTTCAAGTTTCACCAAACAAAACCTTTACCACAGACATGATTATCAGATTGGTTAAACCCCCTATTCAGTCCCTCAACTTTTATTTTTGAACTAAAAATACCCTCAAACTAAAAAAAATACTTGAACTTCAATTTTTGAGACCAATTTCGTCCTTCCATCAGTTAAGTGCTAACATGGCAAAATTTCCCATTAACAAATTCAATTTTTATTAATATTAAATATTACCTGAAAATAAAATGAGTGAAGTGGCATTTTTAATTATAAAAATATGATGACTTGGCACCAAAAATATAATTTAATATACAAAAATTTCCTCTTTTTTTTTTTCTTTCCTTTCCTTTTTTTTTTCTCCTTCTCTTTCCTTTTCTCCTTCCCCTCCCCCTACTGGGTCTTCGAACCCAGCACCAGCGCCTGGGTTCCTCGAACCCAGGTGCGGGTTCCTCAAACCCAGGCCTTGGGTTCGATGGA